TCCAGGCTGAACAATCCCAACTCTCTCAGCCTGTCCTCGTAGGAGAGGTGCTCCAGCCCTCGGATCATTTTTGTGGCCCTCCTCTGGACCAGCTCCAACAGGGCTCCAGAGCTGGGCACAGTACTCCAGGTGGGGTCTCACCAGAGCGGAATAGAGGGGCAGAATCACCTCCCTCGACCTGCTGTCCATGTTCCTTTTGATGCAGCCCAGGATGTGGTTGGCTTTCTGGACTGTGAGTGCACATGCTGGCTCGTATTCAGTTTTTCATCCACCAGTACCCCAAGTCCTTCTCTGCAGGGCTGCTCTCAATCCCTTCATCACCCAGCCTGTATCCATGTTTGGGATTGCCCTGACCCAGATGAAGGTATTAAACTTTAGCTTTCAGATACCTCAAAATTTAGAGAGGGGTAAAATAAACATAAACAGAAGCTACAAACAATTCAACTGATCATATTAGAATAGGACTAAATGGCTCTCCAGTAAGACCCTGCTTAAATAACATTCACAGTAAAGCAAACTTCTGAAATAACTCATTTTTTCCATAAAAAATGAGGACTTTAACACATCATCAGCACAATTTGTTAACAAGTTGAAGCTTGTCTGCTCATCTATGGCAACCATACTAGGTACACATACCTGGTCTCAGGAGAAAATGAGTATTTAAGAACATCTAGTTACCTAAAACATACTACTGCTTTACATGAAAGCTTGTCAGACATGAAACATGAAGAACATATACCATCTCTAGAAAAAATATATTTTTGTAGCCACTGAACCAACTCTCAGTTCTCAATTCAAATCAGGCACACACACACAAAAAATCCAAAAAAGTTTTAGTTGACTGGATTTTAGTATCCTGCTTGGACAAAGACTTATGTTAAATGTTTCTGTGAATTAATACTTCCAGACTTAATATCTCACAGCTCTCCCCTTCTCCCCCTCCCTACAAGCTTCAGCAAAGAATGAAGATGACACTTTTGCTGGAAGACATACCCATACAAAGTCTGAAATTAACATCTGGCTAAAACAATTTAGGAAATTGTTTAAGTATAGCTAAAAACGACAGACCTTTGTTCAGTTCCTATACAATGTTTGGCAACAAAAAACTTTGTTCTAATAGCTATAATTTAGCTATGCTTAGTTCACATGAAAAGGTGCCACTAAGTGCACAAAATGTCTGTTTTTCCTTTTTTCTGTCCATGAATACTGCATAGTGGGTAAATATATAGCATATGCCTTTTATCTAGCTTTACAGTAGTAGCTGGTTAACCCTTCTTTAACCCCCTTAAGTTTGCTAATAGGCAAAATTCTAGAAAAAAGGTTACTCATTCACATTTGTTCTTTACCAGCCCTTTACAAATCCAACAGCTTTTATTAGCATCCAACTATGCAGAATAGTAGGAAGAAATATTCTAAGTGTTTTTGAAAACTGTAATAAAGACATATCTGAGAGCAGAGTAAAAGCGCATACAATCCTGAATGCTCAAGTCATGTCTGAAAAAGGAAAAACAAATGCTTTTGTTTTCATTTGAAAATCATGTCTCAGCTACATCTATAGTCATAAATCCTAAGGTTTGCAGACATCACATTGTTTCAGTCTCAAAACATTCAAACAGACATTTTTGTGCTCCACAGTGCCATAAAAACATATGCATTTAGTACTACATGCTGCCTTTCAGTCAAGCTCGGAAAAAAAAGCAATCCTGTGAAAAAATCAACAGTCATACATTGCTTCTACAAATCAGGTTGAGGAGCACCATTAAATTCCCTTCTCTTTCAATGTTCACAAATCCCACTGTGGTATCTCAGAAGCACCTACTATGCAGAACATCATGGTACGTACGTATCTCCGAGTAAGAAAGCAAGCCAGGCTATTCCACATTTGATCCCTTCTACTTCATATTTTAATTCAATTCATTGTCTTAATAGATATTCAAACAAGCGCTACTCATCTCAACTTAAGAATTGGCCAAGGATTTCTTCTCTAAATTTTCCAAATCCAAATGTAGGAACTGAATGTTAGGGTTACACAACTGTTGGACTGAGTTTATGCCCACTTTCCCATTTGAAGTCTCACACAAAATAATTACACTGATTTTTTACTTCAAGAAATTAAACAGACTGAGTCCTTAAAATCTCTCATTATGAAGCACTATTTCCAGTTTCCAATATTCTCCTGCTTCTTCTCTGAATCCCGAACAACTTTTATCCATATTACAAGGTGAAAGATCTTGCAAAATACTCATACCACTGCCAAATGAGAGGCACCCTCAACTGCTGCCCGGCATCAGTTCCCAGACTAGACACCAACATCCTGAAATGCAAGGCCTGCAGGGTCTTCTTAATTCTAAAGCAAAACAGAATATTCCCTTTGTCCCAGTTTACCAAGCAACTCATGTAATCAGCATCGGAAACCTATCTTCTGCCACCTACCCATCTCTCATCTGGTTATATTACATTTTCTTTGATAAAGAATTAAGAATGGAAGATAACCAAGAATTAAATCTTGCAAGATGCCATAAGGACAGTGTATTCAATAAAAGTTCTGTTTGCTTCTCCTGACTACGGCACTCAGAAAAAAGCAAAATGTCACTAAAAATCTGGACTGGTTTGTTAACAGCAAGTAAATATATTCATGCTTTCTAGTATGCAAACAAGGTGATACTCACCAGGTATTGAGAATAATATTATCCTTTCTACTGCTTTTTAATCCTTTTAGTAAGTGCCACACTTGGTCTAGAAACTAGCAGAATAAGAGATAAACTACAGGTATCAAAACATTTCTCTCACAAAAGGTCTAGTGACCAATCTTTATCATAGAAATACACTTTAAATTATCTATTTTCTTTAAGTGCTAATACATACAATTCAATATACTTTAGCAGCCACTCCATTATTTAACCCATCACCAACTATCACCGTCCAAAGAATCACCATTCACTTTGCTTTTTCTCACACTTGAATATTTAGCCTTCTTTTGGATTTCCTGTATTCTACAGCTAAATCACTGCTAAACCAGCAGGTCACATCACTTTCTCATAGAACAGAAACAAGAGAAAGCTGAAATTCTGAAAGGTCTCAGAGAAGACTGATTAGTGAACATTAGTAACAACCCAAAAATCTTTTCTCCTGAACAGGCAGTAACTACATACAGAAGTCGTCACTTTGATCTTCAGAAAGGCAGGAAAGGGGAAAAAAACAGAAGGCAACCCTATCTGTTACATGTGTTACTACCACTGGCCCATTTATTCCAGGGCTGAATGGAAACTTCATGATTCTAGATTTGAATTTACTCAATCTACACCCAAACTGGATACATTAAAAAGCTCAGTAAAGGTGGAAATGGATTACTGCTTTTCACATCTACCTCTATAGGTAGGTTCCTCTAGATTAATTTTGACATAACACAGTAGAATAGCAGACAAACACTCAGATACTATTCCTTCTGGCACTTTGAGCAGAGACTTCAACAAGAGCCAAGAAAATCTATACCAACACTTTCCTTCGCAATCTTAGCTAACACATCCAAACCTAAATGCATGTATAATAGCTCATATCCCTCACCAATTACAGGTGGATTAAGGCCTGGTATAAAGCTTGCTCTATCTATAGTTTTATGTTTAAAAAGAAATGTTGTTTCAGTCTCTAAAACCCTACCTAAGCATGTTGCATGAAGTCAGCCCTCAGCAACAAGTAAGGGAAGGGAGGGTAAAGGGTAAAGAATAAAAATTACAACCAAATCTGCTGAACAACACAGATATGCTTTGAGGTGACCACAATGATCAACAGAACATTTGGAAACAAAATTACAATATGCCAGTTCAATCAGAATTGCTTTCCATCATCATCCCTTCCATTTTATATGAAAACTACTGGAGAAGGAGAAACAAGTACAGATCACAGGGCCCAAACTAAAAATTCAAGAATACATACAGTTCTTTCCGCATCGATCCTGCGATTTGCTACAAGTAAATTCTAAACTGCTACTGAATAGGGCTGTGTAAAGCCACTCATTCACAATAAATTAGCATAATCAGCAGGATTCACAAACCTGCATTCATGACAGTGAGACAGAAAGCCTTCTGCAAAAATAAACCTCTAAATTACCTTAAAAGGGCCTCACAGATGAGGTGGTTAGCTGAGTACTCCTCCAAAGCCTCCCTCTCAGAAGCCAGCCTGGGTAAGGAAACCTGAACGTGTGTATTCTGATCTGCACTGGCCATGTTCAGCACCAACACCTCGTTCTTTGAGGCTGAAAGGAGCTGAAGATTGAAGGAGCTGCAGCTTTAAGCATTTTCTTTGTGCATCCCAAAGCTGTCTTTCTCAGCTACAACAGGCATGGCAATGGGGTGTTGGGGTGTCTTCCAAACTACCATGGCTGTAAGAGAGGGAGCAGGCCAGGTGCAGGGGTTATGCTACCCTTTCTTGAAGACAGACAGACATACAAGTTCCAAGATGAGACAAAAACAGATCAGCCCAGGAAGCAATATTAGTCTTTCTTGATATCCATTCTTGATTTTGAGTATGAAGCTTGAGAACCCAAATTTTTAGCAGCTCTTAAGACAGAAGCATCTGCTGTAGCCTTTCCTAAATATCAGAATCACAAAGCAATAAGAGGTCCTTAAAAAGTGTGACTTAAAGCCCAATAATCTGAGAACATCAAGTAAAAATATATTCAGCAATATCTATTAAAAAAAAGAACAAGACAAAAGAATATAAATTAAAAGAAGACATGACTACCATCACCAGGGTAAGACAGAATCCAATTTAGCTGGATAAGCAGGGGGAATCAGGAGGCAAGATCACACTATCTCCTAATTCTGTATCCAAGTAGCACAGAAGCTTGAAGAGGTGAGAAAAATATAGCCATTACAGGTAGAGTCTCCAGCCATGAGTGCTGAGAAGTATGCTTTCCTTCTGTGTGAATGAACAATTCTGTGAAGGAAAATATGCACACGCATGCACATATTTACACACACATTTAACTAAATAAATTCTACCTGAGCAGGAGGTACAGCAGCTGCTGGTAAAGGATTAGAGATCATGGGACCAAAGATATCGAGGTCATCATTCAGCGCTGTGACAGCAGCAGTGCCTCCATTTGTAACAGATGCTTCAGCTGGACCATCTTAAAAAGTCAAAAGAATCACATTTAAATTGAAAATTGTTAATATTTTAACAGCATGTGCATAATTAAAGCTGCCCGTTCCCTCCTACCCCACCCCCATCAAAGATGCATTCAATTTCAGAGGTAAGACATTTTTCAGACTGTGACATTGATTAGATTTTGTAAGGACTTCTTCCCCTAAAAATGTGGTATACTAGTGTGCTTCAGGAAAAAAAACAACCCCAAACCAGAACACTTAAAGACGTCCCCAAGACAGCCACGCCAATTTATCAGTACACATTATTCATTTTTCAAGTATGCCAACATTTTAAGAATTTAAACAGATGTCTCACTGAGAAGGCCCCAACTTGGTAGCCATGTATCAGACAAAATACATTGATCTGGGTTCTTGAATTAAAATTTGTATTTTAGAATCCATGAAGTTATTCTTGATATGCTAATTTACTCAAGGGTATACAATTAAACTTCACACTAGGAAAAAAGTCCATCCTTCCCCCTTTTTCAAAAGTACTTTGCACTGGCTTTATTCTATAGCCTCACGTGAACACCCCTGCCAGGCACACTGGGCTAATTATCTGTAAGAACCTACAGAGTTAACCTTCTACAGCCTTGGTGCCTGTAACTGTTTTAACACGTAAATACATTTAGTAATCTAGGTGAAAGTAAGTATGCGTAGGACAAAAAAAAAGGGCTGAGGAATTACGTTTTTAAGGAGAACTGCAAGAAAATACTTGAAAAGATGTAGGGACAAAAACATCATGAAATGTGTGAAAGGAATAAAGCAACTATTTCTCACTTGATTTTAATCTGGCCAAGAACAAGTGGAAAGAATTGACTAATTAGTCTTATGCCTAAGCATAGCACAAATGGGCCGCCATTACACGGAGCTCAACAAATAAAAAGTTTAGTATAGATTCTGCTGAACACTATGACAACTGCATAGTGTTAACAGCAAACTTGAAGCTTCTTTAGGAAAAATAAAAAGTCTCAAAGTATCCAACACTCACTGCAGAAGTCAGACTTCTGTGGCAGAACAAACCAGCTGAATTAAGTCAAAACTCTCTCTCCAACTGAAGAACCACCATGAGAACTGGCATGGCTGTTTATACATCACAGGAGGATAAGGATTCTAAAATCCCTAGATTACAGTACACTGAAAAAACTACTACTAAAATCATAACACAATTTCTACTTAATGCTTCAGCATGTTTAAAGAACAAATTTCCTCCTCGCTGCACCTGTTGTATCCACTGTTCTCATTATTCAGAGTAAGTTTCTGTAAAGAAAATTTTAATTTACCTAGCATTCTAATTAAAGCATTCAGGTTCATTTGTTTGTTTGTTTGTTTTCTGAAGTCACACAATTACACACAGGTAGCTAACTTCAAATATATCCATCAGAAACTCCTGACATACATTTAGAAACTAACATAGGAATATATTCCAAATGTAAAACATAACGGAATACAGATTGCCACTTTTTAAAAGTGACCATTTTAAAAAGCATCAAGGACATAAAGAAATAATTACTATACATTTAAGAAAAACAGTCACTTCCTCCTCCTACTAAACTGTAAGAAGTTATTTTCCAGTGTCCTACACCCATGACAGTTAATCTGACTGAGTGAAAAGATCCATTTCAAGAGCAGAGGTCAATCATCAGAATATCAGCATTAACAGTTTAGTGATAACACATAAAACGTATGTCTTACTACCACAGAGAAACATGTAAGGCTGAAAGCAAATGTGAGGTTTAGGCATATTGAAGTTTCTAGAACTCTAATGAGGAGAGAAGTGGTCTGATTAGTAAAGAGCACGGTCGAGATGCAATATTTAATTAAAATCAAATCATAGGAAGCTTCCAACACTTATTTAAAATAATACAATTTCATCTCTCACATAATTGCAACATTCTTTCCCATCTGCTGAAGAAAATCACAGAAGAATTGGCATTTTATTTTTCTAAGAAAAAAGACATAATCTAACAAAAGAGTAATTTTATTACTTAGAAAGAAGCTGTCCTTCTGCTTTCCTCCACTTTTTTGTTTAAGAACACAAATAACTGGCAGACTATAGCAAGACTTGTCTCCCTACATGTCGAATATTATAATTTTTCATTACTGTGTTCTGCCATGTGCAAACTCACTGCAGTTAGAGACTACCCTTCCTGGTAGCCCAGGATGTGGACAAGTTGGAACAAAACACCAGAAAAACTAAGAAGCACCAGTCACTTCACCAGCCTGGAAATCACTTGATGAAGAAAAACTGTCACAGAAGACTGACAAGATTTTTGGCTGTTAACCTATATGAGAAGGCACTGCATTCTCAAACAGCCTGTTCAGGAGATCCCCACTCAGAGGTGCCTTCTCATTTCTGTCTGCCTTCCAAGTCTGCCTTCCAACATTGATGGAAGGTGGCCCCCCCTTTAGCTGCCTTACATGAAAGTATTTGTTTATTTTAAACATAAAGACTGACACTGCTGTACATGTGAAAACTTGACTTAAGTCATGAATGTCATGAATCCAGCAACGTGGAACACATCAGGAGCTAACACCATCCATGCATATCCGAACTTGGTCTTACTGTAGAGATGCTAACCTTCGCCCCTTAGTACATGTAGGAAATGTGGCACAGTTATAGCTACTACAGAGACCACAACTTTGAAGTGACTTTGGTGTATGTAAAATCCCCAGCATATTTTTTAAGCACTTACTGCACCTTTTTCGTACAGGGAATTATGAAGCAATCAAGCAGAAGGGTGCTGGCTTGCAATTCTTTGAGAGCTATATGCTTGCTTTTGTGACTATTTCAGACACAGAAATGATTTTATACTCTAATTTAATATCAACGGCAAGCAGACCCAGTTACAAGGACCAAAATACCTTGAAGACAGGGATACGAGAAGGACAGAAGTGAGTGGCATTCACAAGAAACTGAAACTCAGCAAACATATTTATTGCTCAAACTTGTGCAAAGTTCATGAGGCTAACTATGCTGTCTGCAAGGACCAAGAAAGACCCAACTCCACAAAGGCAAAATGGCCATGGGAATGGCTTGGCAATACTACATCTTCTCTGCTAAGCAAACAGTGAGTGGCTTGAACAATGACCACAGGAGTGAAGTAGTAATGAAATTGGCTGAGGTGGCTATGTTGTGATTTGACTTTGATGGGAGGATTGCCATTCCAACAATTCTGAAATGCAAAGTTACAAATGCATCTATGATTATGACAAAAGCTACTTACATCTTATCTACAAAGGTCTTCTTCCCTTATTTCTGTTCTGATGAATGGAAGCCAGTGGACAGCAAAATGACCATACGTATAATCTACTCCACCATTCCATCCACGCCAGTGCTTTAAGATATGTGCAAATAAATATACTGGCACGTTAAGTAACAAGCTTCTTTTGAGGTTATTCTGTAGACAGGCAGTTCCAAAAACATCTCCCCAAAGGTTCACTGTTTCAGATAAATTTAGGAATGTACTGTGCATAATTTTCACGCAAAAGAACTGTCTGGAATTAATAATTTAGTGTTCTCATTTTCTTGGTGAGGCACATACATTATAAAAAATAAAATCTCTTGTCATATTCCAAAGTGGTTCAGTTTCCCTGAATGTAAAAAAAGCTTAACAAATAAGACTGAAAATTTAAATGTAGTCATTTACTAAAACAAGCATTTCACATATTGAGAACATTCATGGGAGAACACATTTGCGAGAACATAGTATTTTTCAGGTATTTAATATGCTGCTTATAAATCAATACTATGAAAAAAAAGGGTTTTGCTAGATCGTTTCTGTAAGTGTTATTTGGTAATGTACATACCTTTCACCTCTTACTGCATTTTACATTAAAAATAAAGATTTCCCTGTCTGTATCAGTGCAGAAACCAGACATTTTGAATTACTGTTTACAACACAGTTTTAAGCCTGTATGAAGAGTATTAACAGCTGATCCTGTCTTACTGATTTCTCAAAAATGTAATGTTTAGAATATTTGTAAAAAGCAACTCCAAAACCATTTTTCCCCCATGAAACTAAAAGGTTCCAGGAAGAGCTAAATTTCAGAATACAGAAGAAACCTAACAGTGTTTACATTCCAGTTTATTACTTGTAGCAATATTAGCGTCATTATTTAAGAGTGTGTGTGTATATATATATGCAGGCATACACAAACTTGTACTCGAAGATAGTATTTCACACTTCTTTATAGAGATTACGGATATTCTCAACTTCAATGCACCAGGCCATGGATTAGGACGTACATCATCTTTTTCCTCCCCATTTTAAAATACTTCTGTAGTATAAGACAGATGCTCCAGTGGAGTTCTGAGTTCTAAATTATTCTAAGTATATTACTTTTCATTCAACTTTTGCTGCCTACCATTAAAAACTGTTTAGAAGAGGTGGCATGTATCTGACAGAAGGAAACATAGCTGCAGTCCTTCCAGGGAACAGGTAAAAATCAGACTAAGTTACATAGGCCTGTCTGAATATTTTGAGAAATTTATAGTTTTAACCAACAGAATTCTTACTATGGAAACCATCACAGAATTACTTTGAAACAACTAAGTTCTGATTAAAAGTACTTCCATCACTTTTCTGGAGAATGCATCCATAGCTAGGAATGAAGTATTAGACGTGGCAGAACCCATTGCAACGACAGCACAGGCAAGGCAGAGCTTCCATGCTCAGACAGAGAAGGTAACGTGGAAAGTTTTTCACTGTTCCTCCTAGCTGTGGGCCCAAAACTTCTCCTTTTACATTTATGACAATATGACAGATAAAATCCGACTGCTGTCTGCCATACTGTGCAACAGCAGATGCTGCTTCTGCTTTAAGATTAGGAAGTCTTGTTTACTCTGATAGTAGAAACAAAAGCTATTCACCAGGATATAGAAAGTGAAGGGTTCCAGTGAAGTTTACCTTTATAGTGCTTTTCCGCATATATTTTATTAATGCCCAACATGACAATTTCCAGTTCAGTGCTGCCTTCTCTTATGAAAGCTTTCACATACAGCATTAATCCTTAGTACATTTATCTGTACCAACAGTGAGAATGACCAACAGAAGAGCTTCAAAGGAGCAGCAAGAAAGAGAAACAGCAAGAAAGAAGATCTTCTCTTAAACTTTGCATCATGTTTCTGAAACTTGTTTTCTATGGGGCAAAATATTTACAAGAACTTTGTTTCTAGGCTGCCATGTATTTTTATATATATAATCATTCATCACAGCCATACTAAGACTTGCAATGTATGCATATGATTATTTATTCCACCAAATTATTAGAAAGGCAGCACTGAGAGAAATAGTTCAATACGTTAAACAAAATCTTGTGTGAAGACACAAACAAGGTTTTTCTGTCCCAAATTACTGTGGAATTATTTACTGCATTACTGAAATTTTATTTACTGCTAAAACCTTTGCAGAAATGAAAAAGCTTTCATAGGGAAGCTCTTTCTGTATGATACTTATTAAGATAAAATGTGGAAAGCCAGAAAGCTAACAATGCTGCATGCCTCAAGTGGTTGTAAACGTTTTCATTTCGGGTAGAAACATTGCTTATTTAAGCATAATCTTAACGTAGCAGCAATACTATAAATGATAACATGTATCTATATATGCATATATGATATTACTGTTTCTTAAATGCAGCTTTCCAACTTATGACCAACCACGCTGCTTTGGTACTTACTAGACAGTACTGACAAAAGTACATTTCTCAGATATGCAACATTCAGCTACATTTCACCATGATTAAGCTCTCAAAACTTCACAGAATTCCTTCAGAGAATATTTCCCCCAGACAAGCAGATATACTGCTTTTAGCATATCATACTTAACCTCCAGCTATGCCAGATGAATGCCCCACACACCACATTCAGTTAATGACAACATCATAATAAATCTCATTTCTCCTGGTCATCCATTATAACTTACTACAATGGTTATTCCAGAATGTGCAATTGTTTATTTTATGAAGGGCACATCTAAACATGGTAAATTATGCAGAATATGTAAAATGCACTTTCCTCTGTTCTGATAATTCTGTAAGGTAGTATAGTTTTAAAATATTTCTTTTTTTTTGTATGCTGAAATAATTTCTAAGTGACATACCTTGACAGAATGGTCTAAAATTGCCTGTGTAATATTCCAAGAAAAGACTCCCACTATCATATAAAGGTATCATGCAATTTCTTACAAGTATTTTAAAAACCTCTTTATTTACATCAATCTGGCATAAGTGGAGATATCCTACTTGTAAGACAAAACCCCAAAATATCAAGCAGCGCTGAGCACACGGTTAACACCAGTGGGATGAAAATACAGCACTGCCAATGACTTAAGTGCTGAAGAACTTCGGTTTACACGCTATGACTTTCAAACTGAAAAAAGTTTCCTATAATCCCCCTATTAAAACTTAATGTTGTAAAGTCCCATATTATTGATTTTAGCATCAATTTTAAGTCCCTACATATTCAATAGGGCATGCTCTCAGTGTGGACAAGATCCAACTAATTGCAGAGATCATTTAAAAAGCACTTCAGTTGTAGCCTACAGAAATAGGCTGTGATTTCTCATAGCTTGGAAAGACAGGGAAGGAATTTGGGGTTGCACAGCAAGAACCCTAACTATTGCTTGTGGAGAAAGTAAGAATATTTAGCTTGTACATGTCCCATTTCCCCACCCTTCTGTGTGTGGAGTATTGAACAAAAACCTAGTCTGAATCAAAAGGCCAAAAGCCATGAATGTTTATGCAGCTGGGTCATCAAAAAGTGAATTTTGAAACACTATCTTAATAATAAACCCCCTGAACAGGAACTTGACGGAACCTCATGAACCCATTTAAACAGGCTGAGAAGAAACACAAACATGATAGTACAGTCACTGAGGATATTATGACTCTTCTGCTATTACAAGATTTAAAGATACAATTTGCCTAGGTATATTACCTTGACAATTTTGCAATTTGTAAAGAAAAATAAAACCCAACTGTCGTGGTTTAGCCCCAGCCAGCAACTAAGCACCACGCAGCCGCTCGCTCACTCCCCCTACCCCTACTATTTTTAGAAAATTATCTTGTCTAGCTACAGTTGCCACTGGGTAAGTCTTATCTCACAGGATGCTTACCTTCTGATGAGGTCGCTATTAAAAACCCAGTTGAGGCAAAAAAAGCAATGGCCCAAAGGTTAACCACGTACCCAAAGCTAGCACTGAGGCTTACTCAAGAAAATGCTTTGCAACAGGCTGGGATGCTTTGAAAGCCAAAATTATTCTAGCATGAATTGTGATCCATTAAAATTACTTAATCTGCTGTCACAAACGATTCTCATCTGCCCTAGTAAAAGCTATGACTGTTCGTCATTTGCAGAAATGAAGTCCTAAGAGAATGAATCCTCATTAGAAACATGTCCACTCAGTAAGAAGAATGAGCTATGCAATCATATCCATTTTAATATTGTTTGATATGACTTATCAAACATTTTAATCAGCAGTGCACCTCTGCAGCAACAAAGGCAAATGGGATCCTGGGCTGCATCTGCAGGGGCGTTACTAGCAGAGCTAGAGACATGATCATCCCACTCTACTCAGCGCTTGTCAGGCCACACCTGGAGTCTGTGCCCAGTTCTGGTCCCCGCAATTCAAGAAAGATGTGGACAGATTGGAGAGGGTCCAAAGGAGGGCTAGAAAGATGGTCAAAGGACTGGAGAACCTGCCCTGTGAGGACAGACTGAAGGAGTTAGGTCTTTTCTCCCGGGAGAAGGCTCAGGGTGACCTCATCACAGTATTCCAGTACTTACAGGGCAGCTACCAAGGGGATGGAGGCTCTCTTCACAAGGAGCCACATGGAGAAGACAAGGGGCAATGGGTAAAAGTTGCACCTGGAGAGGTTTCATCTCGACATAAGAAAGAATTTTTTTACAGTGAGATCAATCACTGGAACAACCTCACCGTGGATGTGGTAGAGTCCCCATCACTGGAGGTTTTCAAGGTGCGATCAGACAGGATGCTAGATAATCTCATCTAGGCTCCCTTTCCCATATGTTGGACCAGATGATCTTCCAAGGTCCCTTCCAGCCTGGGCTGTTCTATGATATATTGGGGTGAAGTCATCTTTCTTTTAATACTATCTGAAGTAGTCTACTGCAGACATTAGTTAAAAGACAACTCTCCAAATGAAATATGCAGGTCTGCTCTCATTAATACATAATCTCATTTGCGGCTCAGTGGATTCCAAGTGATACTAGCTTATTACACTGCCTTTCAATTTGTTGTTTAAAAGATCTTTAAACACTCCCTCCTCTAAAATTATGTTTTGTTAACATACAAATTATAAACTTTGCCCTTTGAATATCTCACTATGCTTCCTTACACTGAAGAAGCACAGCTGTTGAACACCAATTATAATACTCTTTCTATTGCATATTACAGCTCAAGTTAGCCTATGCAATCTGAGTTCATTATCGTATCATAAAACAGTGTTAGCAAGATTCTTTTCAAATCATGACTAAAAGGATACAGAAGCCTGACAATCTCAGAAGCACATACTGATTAAATTTTAGTTCTTAATTAGGTTGTTGGTCTGGTAAAAGAAAATAAAGGAGAATCAGCTTTCCATTAAGTCTGAACTACTTTGTTTTTAATAGGTTCATTCTATGTCCATAATCTAACTTCTACTGTGTTAATTAAGATTTGCTTGCCTATGGTAGCAGATTACATGGAACGAGATATGAATCACAACATATACACAACCAGTACAAAAATAGCATTTTACAGCTACTCTACATCCAGAGGGAAAATAACATGCATTTTGAATGATAGTGTGAATTCTAAACCAGGGAAGACATTTATTTTTTTGCTGCAACATTATTCATACCTTAAAACAAAAAAATTAAAAACCAACAAAACATTTTTCTCCAAATTCAGGTTTTTAGGATAATTACATCTAAAAGACTTATCAGCCTCCTCCAATATCCTGTAAAAACTATGTAGAAATTTAAGAATAACCATTATATTGATATAAGTTGAATATTCTAATATCCACTCACAACTCTGAAAATTTTCCTAACAGTGAAGAATAAAAGGGATTAAAAATAGTTATTGTAATATTTCATTTTTCCAGTTCCATTTTAAGATTCTATCCAACGGAAAAACACACTAGATAAATGAAAAGACAGATTTTATGAATATGGCCTTCAACAAGCAGAGAAAAAGCATTCTGTACACAACACTGAAACGCCCAATATATTAAGTTTTACAAGACACTAGTCAGCTGCAGTCAAACAGTTTACTGTTCTTTTTACTAATACAGGAATTTTATGATATAAGGTATTTTACAGATACACAATTCAGATGACCTCAGCATTTTCATTAAGAAGTATACTTGTACCAGAAACACTGAAATACCACAATCCACAATTTGAAGATCACTTTGATAACTTCCCCTTCCCACAGGAGCTCATTACTCTCCTTAGCAAAACACAAGTATTGATATACACAGATCCCTATGGCATTCTCCTTTATAGTTTCAAATTCGCACAGACTGAATCTTATGGTTTTCAAATTCAGTTAACTATGCGTAAGCACAGAGAAAATAAAAGTATATTTACTAAAATATAAAATGATGTATCTGTGTTTGATTGAAATGTATTTCTTACCAAGTCCTAAAAGGTCAATAGTGGGTTCTGATGACTTTTTTGGACTTGCTTTAGCTTCTGATTGTTGATCTTCTTTCTTCTGCGGCTTGAAAGGAAAAAAAAGAAAACACCACCACAAGTAACCTTTCTGAAAAAGATACAGTGCTTAAAAAATTCCCATTAAAGATGCTGCTCCAGTATCAGAAATAAAAGCCCTTTTCTATATTTGTTTATTGTAATGAATTTGATTTGTAATGAAGTAACTTGCAGTTATGGTCATAAAGAACACAGCACATGACTGTAAAAAATTATCTTTATACCTTCACTGGTATGTAATCAATTTTTAAATAAATGTAAGCTTCAGGATAGGTTAAAATATGCTGAAATCTTAAACCGAACCACTGCATATCACACACTAGGCAAAAAGCTGCCTATAATTTGATTTTTTGGCTGATTTTAGCATCCAAACTTTACAGTTCTGCAGCATTAAAGAGAAAAACCTTCAAGTTTTTAAAAGCTTAAATTTAAAAATTAGAAACTGACTAATGGCACTATTTAGCCTTCCTGACAAGACCATCTGCAGAACATTCAGACTTTATAGATGCTAACGCAGAGATGTACATAATCTGTGTTCATGGTCTTTTCCTTTGTAAACTTGAAGACAACAGTATTTTTCTGCTTTGAAAAAGGGAAGTCCTAGCCTTTGCTTGCCTAGAGACTTCAAAATGTAAGATGGTATTGACATGAAATTTAATTATGAAAATTACTTCATAAATCTGTTTATAGTTCTTCTCATACCAATATCGGGCTGATCACCAGAATCCCTCAAAACATACATTTTTAAAATGAATACAAACTGGTTCATATCAGTGACGTGACAAATGCATTCTCTTGCATGCATTTAATATGCATTTACTCCATACTTATGACAAAAACATGAAGTGGATTGGTGAGTGCAATGAGTGCAGCCTTTAACTAGAGAAGATTACCAAACAACAGCAGCAGAGCACTGTCAGGCTGGGCATTGGGCTGACACCAACAGAGCCTGCTTCACTCCCACCTTTATCACCCCCATAACATGGCTCTGACAGAGTCACTGAGTCTCCTGAGGTTGCTGAAGTCATTAAATCTTAGTATTTAGTATTAGGAGAACTTTATAGTTCAACATATGGATAGAAAGTTCTCCTTATTTAGGTAATCCTTTACTTTCCTCTCCTGCAAACGGGGAATGAAGAGTAACAAGCTTGGTGTCTGTAAATAGCAATGAGGAAAATCAAGAGTATTCAAAGATGGGCCATGCAAACAGAAGCTTAACATACTACTGACACTGCTCTTACATGAGCAAGCCCCCACTGAAAACCTCCAGGAAAGAGCTGCAATGAGCTGAACTCCATTTCTGCAGCTACAGGGAACAGGTATCTTCACACTCAAACTGATCCTTGCTAATCTCTCAGAGAAATGTTTGCTTGCTGTACCCAAAAATCGTTATGTTGACTTTACATACCTCATTCAAGAACAAATTTGTTTGGGAAACTGCCTGCTGGAAAAATATTCCGTGGATCCCCTGATTCTATACTGGATTACAACTTTGATCTTTGAGTATATGATTTGAAGAATATCACCCTGATTCCAAATGCTACTCAATACTGGAGAGAAAAAACCCTTACATTTGGTATGAGAAAAAAGTATGGGTTTTGAAAATAAACTTTTGCATATCAAGAATTTTTTAAAAGTGACCATTCAAAATAAAGTCTTCTACAACTGAGCTTACCTCAATAAATACACCATAAAACTTAAGCTATTATTATGAACATCAATTAGAATTAACAATGACTATTTCAGAACAGAATTTATCACAAAAATGTGCATGTTTGATTCCTCTCCAACTCTGTAAAGAACACCATGGGTCACAGAAGCTGTAAAAAGCAGCATTTCTGACATGTTGCTCCATTTCATGAAACTGACTTTTTTTTGCTTAAAGAGCTTAACAATTCTGTTTACAGAACAAAAATTTCTTTAAACTGAGAAGCAAAACTGTTAGAGTTCTATTAAATGTGCAAATTTTCATTACTCCAGATTAGGTTTATGATAAATACTAAAAGCACAAGTTTGAAATAAATTAAAGCTTGACAGGGTTGGTTTAGAGTGCAAACTTTTTACAGAAACCAAACCAGTTTTGCATACATTAGTAAGAACTAAACCAGTGGAGTTCAAATAGCACTCTCTTTTATTTAGTACTTATTACTGTAGCAAATTAATCTCATTACTTAAACTAAAAGTTTTAAAATATAGTACAAATAATCTAGCTAGGTCCTCTGCTTTGTCAAATGAACATTTTCTATAATTATTAAGTACATATTTCTGCTTCCTCACTCTCTAAATAAGAAAGGCAATGAATATGCAAGGTATAGAAATATCAATTTCTATAAAAATAAGATCCTTTAAGGTACCCTCTGTCCGATACCATTACTATCTTTCTTGATCAGCAGTTTCTTTCCCATTTAGCTCCCTGCCAGTATGTAAACTAATAGGTTTTAAGGTTACTTCATAGTTAGTTACCTTAAGAAAGACTGCAAAATTATTTTCAAGCTTCTTAGTACAGCAAATATTTCTAGATATTAATACTGCATTCATTTCTTTGATGGAGATTTTCTCCTTAAAGCAGTATTCAGTTTCTCCTTTACAGTTACACAGTTTTCACAAAAATGCTAATCTTCAGTCTGAAAAATGGAAGGAAGGGCAAAAAAAAAGCTATTTGTCACCTAACAATTTACCAATACTTCATCTGTACAACAGTGGTCACACAAAGCAATAATCAGCAGCTATCTGGGACAAAACCCCCATCCTCTTACTCTTAATTTTACCTGACCATAACAAATGCCAGTTGCTGCAATTTCCTATCCTCCTGTCTGAGATTTGAACCAATTTTAAATTCAGTGTGCCTTTATTTCTGGTTAAGATGTTGCACGCCACTAACAAGGGCTTTTATGCAAATTCAGAAGACACTTGTTTGGTGCCTAAGGTCTGCCATGATTCAGAGATTTCTGAAGTCACCTTACACTTAGGCATAAATTAAATAAGGTTGGCACTAATGGGCTGAGTTAGAACAAGAAACCTGCATGCACATAATTATTCTTAATTTAAGAGTACCTAAATAAACCACCTTTACCATGCCATTTTTTTTAAGACAGCCTTGTTCTCTCTTTGTCCCCATGGATCTTGGACTGCTTGACTGCACTGTGGTCCACCTCAAGAAGGTACAATGATGAACAGTGCCTTACTGAAGTCCTTACTCTGCTTCTATAGGAGATATTGTGGCATATTTCTGGGGCTGGAGCAGAGGATCTCCAGAGCTCCCTTCCAACCTAGATAATTCTGGCATAAATAAGATGTTGAACCTTTCAGAAAAGAATAACAAGGGAAGTCACACTGAAGCTACTTAAATTTTTTATTCTAAACCATAAAGAGAAATATGATGTTTAATTCCTTTTTAGTAGTTTTGCTCCAACAGGACTCATGTATGACTAAGCTTTATGTAGACAGTGGTCTTTTGAGATGTTAAAGCTAAATACTGCACACACTGAGCACAGCAGAGTGCAACAGGCAAAAAACTGCATAACAAGGCAGTGACATTTCTTAATGTTTAATTTAGTGTTGTGCTTTATCTAAAAATTATCACATTTTGTAGAGATGCAATATAGCATGACAAATGCTTGGGAATCCTGCTGCACTAAGATTCATCTCAGTTTCTATTACTGGTCTGCTTGACTCCCACAGCAATTATTTTTAAGTATTGACACCAGTACTAGATAAACTATTCTTTGTTGAGTCCTTTGGAAAAAGGCTGCATTAAAATAGGAGACTAAGCAGCATTAAGTAAACTAAAAATAACACTAAAAATCTGCTATTAAAAAGCCAAATAGAAGGGAACAGGTACACAATTTTGTGCATTTATTTTCAAGTGGAGCCTTCAAGGTTACTGGGGCTACTATTTTTTTTTTTTTTAACAACATTAAAGGTTGGCTTGACAACTTACATGGTTTTAATAAGTACATGGTTACAGCAATTCCTAGATATATTTACTTCGGGTTGTATATTAACAGCTTCTCATTCAAAATAATCTTTATGGTACTAGTACATTCTTTTGAAACACTGTTCTCGCAAACAGCAGATCATCAAAACATCTTTGATATACAGGTCTTACATTTCCATTTTTCACAGTTGTCACTAATGGCCACTACACTATTCATCAAGGTTGTTCTTGTGTTGGAGTATCTATTGAAACAAAGCAATGCCCTCTGCCTTATTCTGGGATTACTGAACACAGTTTATTTGCAAATATCACTGAAAGAAACTGAGGCCAGAACAGGCTTCTAGGGAATCAATTCTTTTCCATCTTCCATGTGATCAGCTATCTAGTACAACTTGGAATTTTCTGCCTTAAGAAAAACTGAGCCCCTGTTTTGAAAAGAGCTGCAATAACTCATTTAGGTTATCCCTTGTTCAGCTGGTATTAGGTACTTCTACCAACTTAAGTAGGCAAATACAGAATTAACCTTGCAACCTCTTGTAAATATTTTCACCTATAAAGCACATTTCTTCAGTAGAGGAGCAGGGACACACTCATTATTCAGATCCACTACAGGCATCATAAATTTTTGCAATCATGTAGATGACAGGTAACTGGGATACAGTAATCCTTTATTGTATTTTTTTCAAATGCCGTGCTTTTCATCTTTTACCTAAGTACATTCTTCTGTCACTCCCATCTTCAAGGGCAAGAAGGAAGATCCAGGGAACTACAGGCCAGACCACCTCACCTCAGTACCTAGGAAGGTGATAGAACAACTAATAATCCTGGGAAACATTTCCAGGCACAGGAAGGACAAGAAGGTGATTGGGAGGAATCGGCATGGCTTACACCAAGAGGAAGTCGTGCTTGACCAACCTGGTAACTTTCTACAATGTCATGAGCAGCTTGGTAGACAAGGGAAGAACAGTGCATATTGTCTACCTTGACTTCAGCAAGGCTTTGGACACTGTCTTCCATAAGATCCTCATACAGAAGCTGATGCAGTATGGGCTAGATGAGCAGACAGTGAGGTGGATTGAAAACTGGCCGAATGGCCAGATGCAGAGGGTGGCAACTAGTCTAGTTGGAGGCCAGTCACTAGCAGTGTACACCAGGGGTCAATTTCGGGTCCAGTCCTGTTCAACATCATTAATGAGCTGGACAATGGGGCAGTGTACCCTCAGCAAGTTTGCAGGTGACACAAAACTGGGAGCACTGGCTGATATGCCAGAATGTTGTGCTGCCATCCAGAGAGACCTCAACAGGTTGGAGAAATGGGCTGAAAGGAACCTCATGCAGTTCAGTAAGGGGAAGTACAAAGTCCTGCTCCCAGGGAGGAGCAACCCTCAGCACCAGTACATACTGAGGAACCACCAGCTGGAAAGCAGCTTTACGAAAAAAGATCTGGGGGTCCTGGTGGACACCAAGTTGACCATGAACCAGTAATTTGCCCTTGTGGCCAAGAAGGCTAATTGTATCTCCTGGGCTGCATCAGGAAGGTTATCTATTGCCAGCAGAACAAAGGAGGTCATCCTTTCCCTCTACTTGGCACTGGTGAAGCCACACCTGGAGTCCTGTGTCCAGTTCTGGGCTCTGCAGCAGAAGAGAGACATGGACATACTGGAGCAAGTCCAGTGACAGGCCACAAACACAATTAAGGGACTGGAACATCCCTCATATGGGCTGAGAGATGGGGTATTGTTCAGCCTAGAGAAAAGAAGGCTCAAGGGGGTTGCGTCAATGTATATAGATCTGTGAAGGGAGGGTGTGCAGAAGCTGGAGCCAGGCTCTTTTCAGTGGTGCCTAGTGACAGGACCAGAGGCAATGGGCACAAACTGAAACACAGGAGGTTCTGTCCTGAACATCAGGAAACACTTTTTCACTGTGAGGGTGACTGAGCACTGGCACAGGTTACCCAGCGAGACTGTCAAGTTCTCTTGTCATATCCGTATCTCTCTGGATACGGGCCTGGGCAACTTGCTCTAAGTGACCCCTGCTTGAGTAGGGAGTTGGACAAGATGACCTCCAGAACCCCCTTCCAACCTCAACCATTTTGTGATTCTGTGATTCTCTCAAGTGACAGAGCACACAGGAATGGTCAGCTATTTCATTCTCTCTTGGCAGACATTTTTGCCAAGGTTGAAGGCCTTTCATGCTTTCTGGCACCCTAAACAACCTCTTGATTTTCTCAGCAGAAGGGGCTGAAGCAATCTTCTCTGGAATACTGTGATTTCTCAGGGGCTCATCCATCTTGGCTGGTGCGATGCCTAAAGCATAGAAACACTGTTTCAGGATTGGTTTTGTAGCAACGAGCCCTTTCAT